GAAACCAGCAAATCAGGAATAGCAGACCATGTTTGGACCCATCAACACAACATCGAGTGGTCCCAAGCTGAGATCTTGCACAGAGAGGAACATTGGTTTAGGAGAAAATTCAAAGAAGCCGCATACATGTTGTCCAACAACGTGTTCAGCCAGGTCAGCGTAGAAATACGCAACATATGGAAACCCATCATCAAGCGAAAAAACGGTCATCTCCCACGGAACCAGTGAAGCGGAAAATGGAAAGCAGGGATAAGTGAAAGTGTTTGAACGACCTATAAATAGTCATCTCTCGGAGGAATCAGTCCAGTCATCACCCGGAGACGATTGTAGATACTAACAATCGAAACGTCGTGACTTGGAATCTCTACACTTTTTATTTTCTTTTCTCATTCCTTCATTTTCATTTTGTTTTTATTTATTCAATTGTTATATTTTTACTTGTAGTTTATTTCACTATTATTTCATTTCAGGTTTATTTTGCATAATTTAATTGTTATTTTCAGCTATTCATTTCTAATTATTCTTTTTTAGTTGTTTCAGGGATTTCAAATCATTTTATATAGTAGACAATGGAAGTCCGAACTAGTGAAATTCATCATCAAACATAATTGTTATTTTCAACTATTCTTTTCTAATTATTCTTTTTTAGTTGTTTCAGGGATTTCAAATCATTTTATATAGTAGACAATGGAAGTCCGAACTAGTGAAATTCATCTCCAAACCCAATTCTGAAAATGAATAAAAGTGTGAGAACAAAGTAACGGCCACTAATTTCTTTCAACTCCATTTCAGGTCTACGGAAAGTGGACACGACTTCGTCCGGCACTCAAGTACCACCCACTGTAATTTCTCCGGCCTACCCCAGCCAAGCGGCGGTCTTCGCCGAGCAAAAGGGCTGCAGCTGGGGCTATAGCAACCGTCTGGTCGCTCATCCGCTTCAACCGAGTCCTTGGGTCACTCCCAGGAACATTGGAGGACCCCAGTGTACACAGTGTCCGGGCATTTGTCCAGTTCCCAGAAGCTCCAGCAATCCAGGAACTTCTTCACAGGTAGGGAGACAATTTTGTTTTAGATTGAATTTGTCGATTCAAAAATATTTCATTTCATTTCATCCACATAAAGAAAACAACCAAAAATTAGATAAATCAATATTTTCATTCTATTGTGGAAGAGAAAGTGTTTTCAAAATACTGTTTACCTCACTTTAACTTAAATCGATAAACTCAAAATAGTTATATACAAAACATTCAAAAAATGTGATACACTTCTCTTCTTAATTACCTTTGAAATAGTGTTCATTAAATTTTTGTTAGCGAAACATTATTGGAATTGTCAAGTTTCTCATTTTTATTATCTATACTGAGGAATATTCAGAAAGTGAATAGAATATTGCATATCCAAGTCTTGTTTCTCACCTAATTTGTTATTATTAATATCATAATTTCAGACATCATCGCAAAATTCCACGACGAGGAAGCAGAGGCCCGTCAGCCAACCTATACCATCGAATTTCAATGGGGAAATCGTACCAAAGACTGCATTGCCGGAAATTTCGGAATTTTGTCCGAATAGTCCACAATATGCTTCTAGTAGCAGTAAGTAAACCATCCTTTTCTTGTTTGCAGCATATAGATTCGTCAAGATTGTACAGAAGACCTGTTAACTTGTAGTCTATAAACTATAAAAATTGTTTTTATGAAATGTCAATAGTTGACATATTTATAAATTATAGGTTTCCGTAGCAGGTTTTTTATATTTATATTCATTGGCATTTTATGCCAATGAATATAAATATTACAGCTGCAGTGTCAGCGAAACGCGTCTAGAATGAAAATTGCTTAATTATTATCAAGGATACTGTTGGTAATTTTCATCAAGTATTTATAATATATATAATAGAATAGAAGGTATCATCTGCTATAATAAAGCACTTCAGCTATTTGGAAACACATGTAATTTCACTGAATTCCAAAGTGCTTTACTTGATTACCTTACCAAAAATGCATTTTATAGTACTGAAGAATTTCTTCAACTCTAGAGTATCATCTGCTATAATAAAGCACTTCAGCTATTTGGAAACACATGTAATTTCACTGAATTCCAAAGTGCTTTACTTGATTACCTTATCAAAAATGCATTTTATAGTACTGAAGAATTTCTTCAACTCTAGTTATTATTGTGTAGTTACTTTATTTCACTTGTAAAAAAAAAAAAAAAATAGATTTCACAATTTTAACTAATTTAAGCTACTTGCATATATTATCTGTCACTGTTCTTGCATCTTTTTATTATGTCTACTTAACCTCTAAGAACATGTATATATACACTAACTATAGATAAGCACAATTGCTTTATGTTCGGTTCTGACTAGTCTGATAAAGTTGTATACTGTATGTACCACATGTATAAAATCTTTTAATGATGAATAAATTTCTATTCTATTCTATTCTATTCATGTACCTACCCGTGATTGTCAGAATTTATCAATCCTTTTCTTATATAAGTCTCATTTTTATGTAAATAAGGGTGTCTTAGTAAAATTCTGTGCACATTCATTGATAGATAACATTTTTTTATGCAGACACAAAATTCAGAGTATATGCATTGGATTTTCATAAACGAACACATTCCTTCATTTATAATCCCAAAACTAACTTTTTCAGTTTTGGATGAGGTGGGAGACAAAGACGAACAATCAAGTGGGGAACCAACATTAAAAACCCGCAGTTTGCCAGCATGGGTCAGATCAAAGCCCAGACCCCTGTCTACAGAAGACGACATCAATGATTTGTATGCAAAGGTAAAAATTGTCTCATTTGAAACTATTCTATCGTCTCTCTAATTTGAACATTGAATAAAATACCCAGATTTTGATGAACACCACTGAATTTCAAATGCTAGTTTCATAATGTGTATGTGCTTATACAGTAGGTCTCACTATAATAGGTTTTAATGGTTATAATAGTTTTAATTAGTGCAATGTAACCTGAATTACACAAACTTAAGTATACGCAAATATTCTGAAGCAGATAAAAAAAGAAGAGGGAAAACCATAAGGCATTACATTCCATATTAATTAACTTCATAATCATTATTTCATATAGGTACATATAACGTATTCTAAAAACACTTTATTGTGAGATTTTCACTAGATAGTTTTACAAAAACGCAACACGTGTTTCTCCATACAATGGCTTCCTCGGGCGTGACTCTCTAGTTAGTTCACTGGTCTAGTGAAAATCTCACAATAAAGTGTTTTTAGAATACCTACGTTAGTTATAGATTTTTATCAAGTATCGGCCGACTCCATCATATAGTTACATATAAACAGGTTTGTCTCTCATCCAACTTACTAAAATACTCGCTAGAATAACAATATCAAACTCTCTCCTCTTTCTACATCTCTGATCAAAGACTCATTTAGTTACAATCACTTACTGGTGAAACCAAGAAAATAGAATGACTTATTGAATGTAAAACCCCAGTAAAGAACCTTTTGGTAGAAAAAGCCTATTTCAATCTTGAAAGATACGTTAAAGATTACTTGTCATATACTCATATTATTATTATTCTTTATTAGCAAATTATTCTTTTT